GATACTCACAGGACAGATTGAAGGCAAGTGTGACTGGGGAAAACAATGCATAATGTACTTAGTGAGCTTGAGTAAATGGATGGCAGAACAGGGTTTAGGAGAAATAACAATAAGACAAATTTTTTTTTAAAAGCTACAAAAGACAGGAAATTGTGGAGAGCCATGAGAGGACATGGTACATAAAGAAGAACTAGATTAGCAGCTAGTTCACATAATTTCACTGTTGAAATTGCTAGTTGTAACCTTAAATTCTCTGTCATCAATCTCTTTTCTTGCATCTTTCATTGGTTCCTGGAATCATCATCCATCTTCTTGGTTTACCAAAGCATGGAAAGCTCATTGGAACACTTACCATGAAAATATTCATAGAAAAGGCACTGGGAAGCGATGTTAAAGTAAGCTGACTGGAGACAAGATGCCAGGTCAGGAATGATGATACTTCTCTTTCCATGCTACAATTGTTTTTCACACAAGTATTGCTAACAGCAGTTTTATTTTTATAATTAAAAGAATACCTTAATGCTACCATTTTAGATTAAAATAAAAAAAATATGGAAATTCTTTCTCATGTTTTCATATTTTGAAGCAAAAACAAAAGACAGACTTTTTATTTTTGCATAACTACATTAAAAATGGGAATTAATTTAAAAATCTGAAAAATCGAGTACATTGTAAATACAAATAAAATATTTTGTAGAGAAAGTGATTATTTCAGATTAAAGATTGAGTAAGTATGTTTTCTTTATATTTCTTCTGGTTACACATTGCTAGAGATTAAATTATAATTTGAAAACACAAGGTTATTGTTTAAACATAAGGAAAAATTCTGAAAAATTAAGTAAGCATCAGTTGTTATTTTGTGATTGCTTTAAAATTAAGAAAAGAAGTATCACACACAGACACATATATGTGTGTGTCTGGTGTATATATATATATATAACACATATACAGTAGTATATATTCATACACATGCATAAAGAATAATATATATATATATATATATATATATATATATATATATATATACACACACACAAACACATAGTTACCTAAGTGTACACATACACACAAATATACAAACATACATATATGTATATATTACATATACATGTCAATTTTATACATACATACATACATATAAATTTTATACACACACATGTATTTATATACATACACATGTACGTTTTCATATATATATATACATACATACATATGAATCTATGTATATATGTACATACATGCCTGCACATATAAATGTGTGTGTGCACCTTGATCCATATAAAAATAAGGACTTAGAATTAACTATAAATACAAGATCACTTTGGAAGAAACCTAATCTAAAACAGCTTAAAATGAGGAGATTTAAAAGAGGCTCTGACATTCAAAATATGTAAGATTAAGGAAACAATGTAAGTGTGTGTATATATATATATATATATATATATATATATATATATATATATATATATATACATACACACACACATAGTTGTATAAAAAAAAGTATTTATATCTAAATTGGGAAAAAAAATCTATGATTATTTTGGGTAATGATAATTCAAAACAGCTTCTACAGAGAACGCCTAAAATATTCTGCAAGTTGTTTTTAGAATGCTTCACAAAAGTATCTCTTTAGAAATATGTTATTGCCCATGTAAGGAAATTTAACAATGTTTTTTTTTTTTGTTGGCTAAACCACCAAAGAGCTGGCAGATAGGGTAGCCTTGCTATATGGAAATGGTTATCAAAATTGTTGTGCAGATCACTATAGCCCTAATAAGTTTAATAGTTGCTGGGCACCCCACACTTTTTGCCTTGCACCAAATTATACAAAAGTTAGTAAATACCTACTATGTTGCAGTATAATGCTTGCCACTTGTAGTCTATTACTACTGTGAGAAATTCAATCGTAACTTGGCATTGGACCCATGTGACCATATGCTTGAGTAAGTGCTGGGCTGGAGCTGCTCATTTATCACCTTCCAGCCTTGAGCTCAAAATCATTACGTGGTCTCCACTTTGCAATTTATTTTCCACTGATACAACATTGCAAGCATATCACTACTCTATCACTGTTTCCATTCTTTAGTTCTGCCAGTTCAGACCTTCACAGCTAAGACGTAGAGTCAAATCTCATCTAATTTCCTATATTTTATTATATATATATATATATATATATATATATATATATACACATATACATACATGTGTGTGTGTGTGTGTGTGTGTGTGTGTGTATATATATATAAGTTAAATTAAAAAAACAGACAACCTTAAGGGTTTATAGATTGTATTTTATTTCCCCAAGAATGGGAGGTTCTTTGCTGCTTCCTCAGATCACATTTCAAACAAATATATATATATATATATATATATATATATATATATATATATATACATACATACATACACATTGTTTCCTTAATCTTATATCTTCTGAATGTCAGAGCCTCTTTTAATTTTGTATGGAGGACAATTCACTAAGACAGGTTTTACATTTTCATTTAGTTCATATTTATTTTTATTTTATCCCCCCCAACCAAGTACTTTTGATTGTTGCTATATTTATTTTCAAGGATTGTGTTTTGTTTATGTAACTGTTTCTGGTTAATTCTGGCATTCTTGTGTAAGAACCAATTTTAAGTCACTCAATGTGACATCATTTAAATGGTTAAAAAAGAAAAAAAAAAGTACCCATAAAAATTCCACATTGACCATTTGATTTTACATGCAAATACTTTTGGTGTGAATTCATCTCTTCTTCCTCAGCTATTGTTTAATTAGAAGGATTTGTGTCTGTAAATTATTATTATTATTATCTATCTCCAAAAGAATTCTTAGAATTCTAAAAATATTTTCTGGCTTAAAATGCCCCGAAAAAGGTTGATAAAACATAAAAAAACAAATCAATCAATCAAAATGCTACATGCAGAAATCAGATATATTTGTTAATGTTTGCTTATCCTTTTATATGTGCAGCTTGCAGAATCATGTTAAAAACACAAAGGAAATGAATTAGTACAGTTTGTAGCCACATTGGACAGGTGCATATTTGAAAATGTTGAAATTTGCTACGCTAGTAATAAAAAGTAGTTTTAAAAATTAAATTAGGTGACCAGAATTTAAAAAGAAGTAACAAAGAAACGTCGAGCTCAAATAATGTGTATTTCTGTAGGAACAACAAACTCTACTTAAAAGGAAGGCACTTCAAGCATAAAACACAATTTTTCTTTTCAAAAGATCTTTTCAAAATTTACTTGCTTTTGATGAAATATTTTCAGCAAATGAATGTAGTTTTAAAGAAAGGAAAAACAAAAGTAGGTTGTTTCTTAATGTATAAACTCAAGAAAATATTGAAGATATTAAATAGCTTGATTTGGTTATTTGAGAGAAAGGGAGTAGTTAAAAAAAAAAAAAGAAAAAAAGAAAAAAAAAAGGTGTTCTTGGCCCAAACAAAAAGTCATTTGAAAAATTCAAGATTTTGGAAGAGAGGGTGAAGACATGAGCCTTTCAGCATATACTCTCTCTCTCATACGAACAGATATTTTATATGTATATATATATATATATATATATATACACACAGAGATAGATGCTAAAAAAATAATATATATATATATATATATATATATATATAAAACTATGAACACAGACATATATCTATAGATATGCTCACATTTATACATCAAATTTTTTATATATATATATATATATATATATATATATATATAAATAAATATATAGTACAGGTAATAAGTCCATTGGTACATAATCAAAATGGATCGTTTTGGTTGAATAAGATGGTGTTAAGTGAAATATACTATACTCATGAGCTAATTTTTGATTACTCTGTTGTGTAAATTTTTAGCATCTCTCTCTCTCTCTATATATATATATATATATTAGTTCTAAAGCATGCTATATTCATGGGTTAGAGTATTCAATATCAGTCAGTGACCATATGTAAACGTAAAAGAATAATAAAATGAATAAGCTAGAAAAAATGCTTAAAGTACTAAAGCCCCATATATATATATATATATATATATATATATAAACTTCTGTTAATTTTTAATCCCCACCTTCATCTTTAGACCTTCCTGTCTTTCTTTCATCTGTTACACCTCTCTTTAGACCTTTAAAACATTTCCTTCTCACACATACACTAACTAAAATCTTATTTTTTATACCCGGAGTTATATTTTCCAATTTCTTTTTGAATTTGTAGGTCTGATGAATTGGATCGTGATTACAATTCCAATGTAATAAATTATAGACATGGATTATTAGTGTTTGAGCCTTTTTTTATTATATTCTTACTCTGTCCTAGACATCGAGTTCTACCTGGATTCTATCCACTTGGGAATTTATAATATATATATATATATATATATATATATATATATATATATATATATATATATAAAAGTTATCAGTGATAGACCATATGTGAATATAAAAGTGAACATTAAGGTCAACACCCTGTTTCATGCTTACACTCAGTCATCAGGCGATATTATAACATGATATCTCAGTTTCAATCATTTTCCCTGCTTACATACAGATTCCCTCTATGTTTTCTATAAATATTTTTATGGTAATTTGTTGGATGAACTTTACTCTATTGTATGTAGACTTCCTGAATTTAAGCACAGTACTTGATTGGCTGTAAGGTCTCATCATGAAATGGCTAGATGTGATCATAAGCTCTATGATAATAGTTTCTTTTCTTGCATTTCTCACTGGTGGAACTCTTCTGATTTTTGCTTCCCAGTCAGCTAAGACCTTCAAAAAATTAAATGTAATGTCAATCATCATTTACTGTTTTCTTAATGGCTGTTCTTTTATTCTTTTCTCATCTTAAGAGAGATTTCTTTTCTTATATTTTCTCAGTCAGTATCTCCTTGCATCTTAGTGGCTTTATTGCCTTGCTTGGGGTGAAATGATTATATATATACACACACACACAGAACGTTAGTTAAAATTATGTTAATGCTTAA